GTGCTGCTGCTGCTGCTGGCCGTTACGGCGCGGCGATGATCGCTGGCCACTAGTACTTCGGGATCGGTGCTGATGACTGTGGTGACGATTGTTTCGGGTCATCGGTGACGCGGACGACGACGACGAAACAATAGGTATGTGTACCACTTCGATGTCATCATCGTCGTCGTCATCGGCGTCATTACCGTCGCCGCCACCACCACCGCCGCGGCCGCCGCCGCCGCCACCACTAGTATTTTGATGTTGATGCCAGTGGTGTTGGGGGTTGACATCAACGTCCACTTCAATGTTTAGTATGCTTTCCTGACTGCCGGTAAACTATCCCCAAAAAAATATATATATATATAATATATAATAGTTAGTAATAAATAATTATAAAAATAATTTTTGTTTAAATAATTTAATGAATAATAATATAGAAGTTAATTATATATTTTTAAATTAATAGTTTAATTACTATATTATACATTGTATAACTACAGTATAATAATTTATATCTATTTTATCTAATATCTTTTATTTAATTAATTATTAATTAATTATTTATTTAATAATTTAATATAATCTTTATATCTATTAATTTATATATATATATAAATAATAGTAATAAATTTCAAAACTATATTTAAAGTATTTAAAATGTAAGTATACTATCAATACTAACAATTAACTATTATATAGTTTAATTTTTGCAATAAAAAAATAATAAATTTTATAATTTATAAATTATTATAAAAAAACTAAACTAAATAATAAAAAATATTTTGTTTTTGTTTTGTTTATTATCATTTTGATTTATAGCACAAAACTTAATACAATTTAGAGATTTTTATCATATATTTACAAAATATTTTTTTTTTGTAATTAATTATAGCATATAATTTATATACACTAAAAAAAATAACAACAAAAAATCATATTAAAATCGTGGGCTTACTATAATAGTTGATAATAATATTTCAAATATATCTTAATCTACAGTATATACACACTGTATATACACACTTATATCAATATAATATACAAAAAGTTTATTAAACTATTTATTAGTATTAGTAAAAATTATTAACAACAAAAAATAAGTTTACTGTATATATATAAAAAAATGTTGCAATCAATTGGCATATAGTGTTAATAAATCATTTATTTTATTTTTATATATACATTGTATATATATATATATTGTATATCCATTTAGTCAGTTAATAATTGTCTATAATTTATAGAGACTATCCTTATATATATATATATATATATATATTAAATAAAAAATACTTTAACAATAAAAAACATCAATAAATTTTTAATGTTATAATCTATTATTATTAATAGTGTACAACAAAAAAAATTATTATTATTATTAAATAAATAAATAAATAATTTCAAATTATATTGATGATGATATATTTATATACTATACTATATACACACATTATTATATTATATAAATTGATTGATGTTATTTTATATATTATATAAATTTTTTTTTTAGTATTGATGATGATATCTTTGATATTTTTAGATTTAGGTTTTTATTTTTTAACTTTATCTATACTATATATATATATATATATATATATATATATATATATATATATATATATATAAATAAATAAATGTGTATACATTGTAATGTATATATAAAAACAAAAATAAATATATATAAGCATATCGTTATCATAAAAATTTATGTAAAATATAAAATCAAAATAATATATATACTTGTATTAAACTTAATATAAAAGCACATCAAATCATATATATATATATATATATATATATATATATATGGTAAATATAAAATATAAATATATGAATATATATTAAAATATTTTATGTTTCGGATATTAAATATTGAATATAATAATAAAATTGACTAAAATTTGTTTGTTTGTCGATTATAATAAATAAATATATAAATAATACATTACTATATACAGTACATAGATATTCAATTACTGGTATTATTATGATGTTAAATTAGCATAATAATGTAATTTATAATATTGTTTATATACACACACACACACACACACACACACACACACACACACACACACATACATACACATACATACATACATACATACATACATACATACATACATACATATATATACACACACATACATACATACATACATACATACATACATACATACATACACAAACACACACACACACACACACACACACACACACATACATACATACATATATATACACACACATACATACATACATACATACATACACAAACACACACACACACACACACACACACACATACATACATACATATATATACACACACATACATACATACATACATACATACACAAACACTCACACACACACACACACACACACACACATACATACATACAATTTTGATATATTAATAAATAATTATTAATGCTATTAATTAACATACCATATGTACCATCAAAATTAATCATTAATTTGATGAAAATTATATTAATAAATAAATACAATATATAGGATAATAATTATATGATATTAAATTATAATTAAATTATAATTTAATTATAATTAATTTAATAATAATAATAATAATAATAAATATACTGACCACTAGTCCATAATATTTGAGTATGTCCATTTTACACATAGGACATGACCTATTCTCCAGGAGCCAGGGATCTACACATGACTTGTGGAACAGGTGTCTGTTAAAAAAAATAAAAATTAAAAAATAATTTTTAAAAATTTTTAAAAATTAAAAAAATCAAAAAAAAAATTCCAGTATTCAATAAATTCAAAAAAAAAATTAATTGTAAATTTAAAACAATTGTATATTTTTTATATAATTTAATAATTTAAAAAATAATATAATACAGTATATATATTGAATTTACAATATTACATAATTTTACATATCAATTGATTTGTTTATTTTTTTACAAATTTAGATAAATAAAAATAAAAATCTAATTTTAGTCACTAATTAAATTAAAATAATTAAAAATTACTAGATTTGTTTTTTTATTTGTTTTTGTTTATGTTAATTAAATTTTAAAAAATAAAAATCAATATCAATATGTCAACTACTATTATTATGTAAAATAAATAAAATAAATCTTAAAAACTTTAATTAACTAAATGTTATGAAATATGTGATTATCTAATTTATTTTAATTAGTAAAAAAATACGATTTTTCATAATCTAATAACTAATTAAAATTTTAAAAAAATACTATAAATATATCAATAAACTAATTGTTTAAATTTTAGAAACTATTAAAATATAAACCCTAAAAATTATTATCAGATTTTCAGGATAAGGTAATTATAATTAAAACATATATATATATATTAAACTAAAAAAAACAAAATAATAAAAAATCAATTTATGAGATTAATTAATAATAATAATGATAATTAAAATAACTAATTAGTTTACTAATGATAATTATTATTATACAGTATTTTCAATAGCAACAAAAAAAATTAAATAAATTAGCATTAATAATTAATTTAAGTATAGCAATTTAGTTTTTAAAAATATATTACTATGACAATTGTAATTATTATTATAATAAATAAAGTTTAATTAATAAATAAAAACTATCTAGCTAAAACTATTATTATATATAGGAAATCTAAAAAATCAATTTGATTTATATAATTAAAATTAAATTACATAAAACAACAATTAAAAAACTTATTAATAAAAATTACTTAATTGTTATTCAATGTATTTCCCATTTTTTGTTGTTGTGATTAAAATAATTTTTTAAATTTAAATTTAATTATTTTATAATTATATTATTCCTAATAATTATTGGTAATATTAATTATTTAATTAACAGCTGTAAAACACTTAGTATTATATATTAATTATGTATATTTTTTTATTATATAATAATTGAAGTTTTATTTAAATACAATGATTATGACCTTTAAAATTTGATGGCAAAATCATTGGGAAAACTATACTTTAATTTATTTATTTTTATGTGAAGGTTTTTTTTGGAGGAAAGATAGGAAATATAATTAAATATTTATTAATTGATTGAATAATAATTTATATATAATAGTAAATAAATTTTTAAAACTTTTAAAACTATTGAAACATTGATCTGATTAATTAAAAAATAATAATAATTTAAATAACTTATAGATTAATAATATGTTTACTTGTATTGACAATAATACTGTATATGTTTGAAAAAAATAAATTTCAACAGTATATAAATTATATATACAGTGTATATATATATAGACAGATATTATCTAATAGATAACACATATATTTATAAAAACAGGTAAATACCAGTTATATATATATATATACTTTATAGACAACTAGTATATATACATACAAAAAAAGTTTATATCTATGATTACTATTAGATTATATGGCATTAATGATTGCACTTTAATTTAATGTCACTGATTAACACAACTATACTGTATATATTATATAACTATATATATATATATATATATATATATTAGTAATTTATTTATTAGATATACAGTAAATTGAGATAATTTTTTTCTGTATATATATTTTAGTTGCTAAAAATAAGAAGAAAAAAGTAAAAAAAAAATAAATAAAAAATACAGTAAAATGTATTAACAGTTAGAGAGAGACTGAGAGAGAGAGAGAGAGAGAGAGAGAGAGAGAGAGAGAGAGAGAGAGAGAGAGAGAGAGAGAGAGATGATTATATTCACTGTAATTGACATTTTTTACATTTTATTTTTACGACCATTTTATACATTTAACCTTTTATTATATTATATTTTATTTTTTTTATATATATAAATTTTTATATCACATAAGTATTTTTTATTTTATGTTTGAAACTATCACTAATACTGTATATATATATGTTTATATATATATAGTTTTTGTGGTAGTTTTTTAAAAATATTTTATTTTGTAAAAATAAAACTAAAAATTTCACATTTTTATAGATTATTTTTTAAAAACAATTTCACTATAATTGTGTAATAACAACAACAATATTTACTAAATTAATAAATAAATAGTATTTATAATTACAATAATTAAAATAATATATATATATTTTAACTAATAACCACAAATAAAACAATTATTAAAAACAATATATACTAATAGTTAACTAGCTAAAATTTATTATTTTTAATAATAATAATAATAAGTTTATATCAATAGGAAATAATTGTATTAAAAATATGAGACTAAATTAATTTTGGTACTATATTTTATTATCTAATTTTTTAAAAAACAAAAAACATATATATTATTTTTTATAACTATAATTATAGTAATTTCTTATTAGTAATTATAGTTATAATAATAATAAATAGTTAAATAATGAAAATTTCAATGATTTTATATAAATTTTTGTTATTACAAAAATTATTGATATACTGTATAAATATATATTAATAATTGTGTTTTATTTATAATTAAAAAATTTTTTTTTGGTGGCTATTAGTTATTATTTAGGATTTTTATTCTACAATAATAATTATAAATACTATTTTAGTATTAACTGTCTATTTATGAAATTAATTTATAATTTATAATTTAAATTATATATAAATATATTATATATATATAGATACAGTATATATTGGGTATAATATACTCACTTGCAGGGAAGTATACGTATAATATCACATGTCTTGAACGTATCGATACAGACGGGACACAACTCAGCAAATTCTTCCTCAAAAATCTTTTCCAAATCCGCCGGACGTATGGTTTTTGTCGGTATCTTATCCATGGCTTTCTTGGCCGCACTGTTTAGCCGACGCTATGATAATAATAATAATATACCGATTATTAGATTAGATTTAGACACTGAAATAAATAGACACATAAACAGATCTATGTATGTGTATGTGTATGTGTATGTGTATGTGTATGTGTATGTGTATGTGTATGTGTATGTGTATGTGTATGTGTATGTGTATGTGTATGTGTATGTGTATGTGTATGTGTATGTGTATGTGTATGTGTATGTGTATGTGTATGTGTATGTGTATGTGTATGTGTATGTGTATGTGTATGTGTATGTGTATGTGTATGTGTATGTGTATGTGTATGTGTATGTGTATGTGTATGTGTATGTGTATGTGTATGTGTATGTGTATGTGTATGTGTATGTGTATGTGTATGTGTATGTGTATGTGTATGTGTATGTGTATGTGTATGTGTATGTGTATGTGTATGTGTATGTGTATGTGTATGTGTATGTGTATGTGTATGTGTATGTGTATGTGTATGTGTATGTGTATGTGTATGTGTATGTGTATGTGTATGTGTATGTGTATGTGTATGTGTATGTGTATGTGTATGTGTATGTGTATGTGTATGTGTATGTGTATGTGTATGTGTATGTGTATGTGTATGTGTATGTGTATGTGTATGTGTATGTGTATGTGTATGTGTATGTGTATGTGTATGTGTATGTGTATGTGTATGTGTATGTGTATGTGTATGTGTATGTGTATGTGTATGTGTATGTGTATGTGTATGTGTATGTGTATGTGTATGTGTATGTGTATGTGTATGTGTATGTGTATGTGTATGTGTATGTGTATGTGTATGTGTATGTGTATGTGTATGTGTATGTGTATGTGTATGTGTATGTGTATGTGTATGTGTATGTGTATGTGTATGTGTATGTGTATGTGTATGTGTATGTGTATGTGTATGTGTATGTGTATGTGTATGTGTATGTGTATGTGTATGTGTATGTGTATGTGTATGTGTATGTGTATGTGTATGTGTATGTGTATATGTATGTATATATGTGTGTGTGTGTGTGTGTGTGTTTGTATGATTATAATGTTTGCAATATATTTTAAACAAAAAAAATCAAATTTTTAGTAAATATATCATTAGTAAAAAATTGTTTTTATATAAGTTTATGTTTAAATGCTTTAAAAAAAATATTTTTCTAAATTATAATTATTTTATGTTATAATTTATGGGTTATTATTTAAATTTAATTAATTTTGTTGTTGTATTTTCTTTAAAAAAATCTATTGATAGTAATCATTGATGTAATAGATATGCTAATCGTGAACTAAACTAACATTTATTTTGTTTGTTTGGTTTTTTTTAGATAAGTAAAAATTATATATAATATATAAAATTAATATTTAATATCTATATATCTATATATATATATATTTACTGTATATATCTAGTGATTAATCATAGCTACTCTACTATTACCTACTGTTGTTGTTATCGCACACTAAATGATTAAATTATTTATTAAATATAAGATAAATAACAACACAACAAAAATAATATATTTATAATATATATAAATATATATATATATATATTGAAGTTATAAATATATTATTATTATTTTATTTTGTTTTTGAAATAAATATCTTATAAGAGAGTTCGTGAATAAACTATATATTGAAATATATATAGAAATATAGTTTTTTTGTTATTTTTTTCGGTAAAAAATAATAATAAATAAATATATAATCAAAATATATATATATATATATATATATAAACTTACGGCCAAAATATCTTTTGCGTGAATATAGCGAAACCGTTGGACGTAATAAAATATAAGCCACGCCAACGATATTATCTTTGAAAACAAATACAAAAATATTAATATTAATAATAATAAATAAAATAAATAATATATCAAATAAAAAGATATATATATATATATATATACGTATAATATTAAGATATAAATAAAAATAATACCTTATATTGAAATATAAATAAATAGCATATTTTTTTAATGATAATCATTTAAATGCTTAAAATGCAAACTCAAATAAAAACTACTAATTTTATATATATAATATTTGTTAGTTTCTATGTATATAATTTGAATTTTTAAAAAAATCAATAAAATTAAAAGTATTTATTTATTTTTTAGAATATACACTTAATTTTATTGATTTTAAAAAAAAAATCATAGACATATTACACACACATACATACACACATACATACATACATACATACACATACATACAAACACACACATACAAACACACATACATACATACACACATACATATACACATACATATACACATACATATACACATACATACACATATATACGTATGTATACTGTAGACACCCACACATACAAACAAACAAACAAACAAAAAAAACACACAAATAGAAAATGAGAGATAAATTAAAAGCAAAAAAAAAAATAAGTAGAAATTAAATAAAATCAGAAAAATACAAATCAATCAATTGGATTGATTGCAACTAAAAAATAAAATTAAAACAAAAATCAAAATGTTTTTAATTACCATTAAGACAATGAAGGAAATGGATACAAACAGTACGGATGTCCTATTGATGTTTGTATATCTCATGGGATGTGTAGTTATGGATATCTGTACCATAACTCGGGTCCCATTGTCGACCATTGAGGCCAAAAATTCGCCCTTTTCTTTGGGTATGAATACCGATATCAAACTTGAGGCTAAAAAAATTTAGTAGATTTTATAAAAAAAAAATCAAAATTTAATTAAGATTAATTAAAATAATTTATTATCAATTAATTAATTGAATAATAATAATTATTAATAATAATTATATAAAAAATAATTGATTGATTGTTATTTTTTTCGAAAAATTATATTTTAATTGATTAATTTTTTTTGTTGATATAATATAAAAATATTTTTTATTAATATATTATTTTATAGTAATATATATATATATATATATAACATAATTAATTAATTAATTATTGATTGTGTGTTTTTGTGTATAAAATATCTTATATTAATATAAAAAAATAGATTTATATAGATTTATTTTATTTTCAAAATAAATAATTAATTATTATAACTATATAATGAATATATGTGTAAAACTATCAAAACATAATTAATTGATAAAATTCAATTCAATTTGATTTGTATTTAATTCAATTCATTTAAATATTGAAGTTATAAATAATTTAAATCAAAAAATTTTTTTGCAATTAATTTAAAATTTAAAGCAAATATTTATAACATTAAATTGAGATTTAATTTATGCAAACATAGCTCTCACACACAATAAAAAATAAAATAAAATAAAAATAATTACAAAATTCAACTATCAATACATACATATACTGTATATATTAACAAATTTAACATTTATATTAAAAGATATTTTTTTATTGTTTTTTACAATTATATATATATATATATATATATATATATATTTATATCCGGGTTTGCAATTAAGATCTGAATTATAATTACTATTTGTATTATTTATTTATTATTTTTTTTCTTATATATATATATAATATAACTATTTTTTTTATTTATTTATTTATTTATATAGATAGGAATATTCTGTACTAATATAAAATATACTGTTATTATTATTACTGTATATATATATATATATTGTCTAAATAAATAATAAATGTTAAATTAAGATAGCATTATAACTATTATTCCCATTAGAAATATCTGTATATAAATATATAGGTTTTTATTTTATATATATTAATCAAAAACAAAAACAACAACAAAAAAAATAAAAACTCATCAAATATGTACTAAAATAATTATCTTGAAATATATAATTTATATATATATCTTATATATCTTATATTACAAAACTAATTTTATTTATTTTTTGTACAGTATTTATAAATATATAAAACAAAAATAAAGATCAAACAAAACAACAACAACAAAAAAAACTAAATAACAAATTTACAAAAAAAAAATATAATTTCGATATATTTTAATATTTATTTATTTATTATACTTAATATAATATTAACTGTATATATATATTGTATAGAAGTATATATATTTTTTATCGTTAATATAATATATATATATATATTGAAAAAAATATTATAATATAATTAAATTAAATTAAAAAAATTTATAATATAATTAAATTTTAATTAAAATTAAAAATAATTAATTAAAAAATCATTACCAAAATGCCATATCTCTAGTCCAGAAACGCTAACCTCTTGGTATTCATAGTATGATTTTGTGGACGACTCTATAAAAAATACAAAAAAATAAATATTTTTATTATAAAAAACATTATTATAAAAAACATTATTTTTAAAAATCAATATTTAATATAATAGAAAGTTATATAAAAATATTTATAATATAAAATACATAGTTATCTTATTTTTTTATAATAAAAAAAATATTAAATAATAAATTATATATAAACAGCGAATAATAATAATAATAATAATTTTTTTCCAACAAAATAAATAATAAGACAATAATATTATTATTATTAATAATAATAATGTATTTTGCAATCTATTTTCTAAACTATAATTTAAATTGTTGTAACAAATTGGATAAAATTATTATTATTATTATTACGATTATTATTATTATATTGTATTTACTTTATTTCAAATGTTCAACAAAAAAATTTTGTGTAAATAATGTTTTTTTTATTTCAAAAAAAAAAATAATTCAATACAATAAAAATTAGTTATGTTAGCGAAACATTTTATTTTTATTTATTTATCTAATTTTATTTTTCATTTTTTTTATATTAAGATAAACAATATTATTTAGACATTTACGTCATTGATATATACAGTATAAACTAGTTGTACTTATAAAGTAAATGAGACATAATATATATATATATATATATATATATATCATTGAAACAATTGATTTATTTGTTATCTAAATTAGATTAAATATTAGATATCTAACGGTATATACTGTATAATAAAAAATATTGTATTTGTAATATAATATTTACTGTAATACTAAAAATAAAAATATAATATATACTATATTTTTAAAAAATAAATTATTATTATTATTATTTACTATATATTTTTTTTAATATAGTTTAGTTTAACATTCACATTTATCATAGTTATTAAATATCATATTTAGTTATATATATTATTACAGTATTATTATTATATAATAAAATATTTAGAAATATATATATATATATATATATATATATATATAGTATGAAAATTGTAGACAAAATTAATTATCAATTTGTATATATTTTTAATTTCAAAATATATATAATAAAAACTAATTTTCTAAAAATGTTTTTAACTATTATATTATATTATAATTGTTTATTACAAATAGACATATAATATACATAACAATAATGTGTTAATATTAATCATAATATAGTTATTATCTTTTATTATAATAATAATAATAATCTCAGAAAATGATTTACTTTTATTATTATATTCAATAGTTTGCGTATAAATTTAATATGTTTTATGATTATATATAGTACAGTATAATAATAAGATAAAAATTGTATAATTTATACAATAAATAACAAACAACATAACAATAACAAAAAATAGATATTAAATTTAGCAATAATAATAATAATAATAATAATAATAATAATAATAATAATAAAATGATAACAATACTAAAATAGTAATAATAATAATATGAAATATAATATACATAAAATAATATAATTATTAATTATTCAAATAGATTATTATAATTGATATTATAATTATTTTTAACGATATACTGTATATTACTGTATAATATATTCAAACAGTATATTATATTTCATTATTATTATTATTATTATAAATTTATAGTTAAATTAATAGTAACATTATATTTAATGATAAATATAGTTAATATTAATAAATAATAATTTTTAATGTATTTATTTTTATATCTCTCTCTATATATATAATTAAAATTAATTAAATAGTTTTCTGAAAACTTGACATTTGAAAAACTACTTAAAAACTAAATTATATAAAAATGTTAAACAAATAAATATTATATAATACTATATAAAAATAAATAACTAAATAAAATGTTAATCAGATTAATAATAATAATAATATCAATTTATTTATCTATTTCATTACTAACTTGTAAGTTAGTAATACTAATAATTATTTAAATTAATTTAAATAATATATATACAGTATATATACAGTATATATAATAATAATAAATTGTTTGATCTTTGAAGTTAATAAAAAAAATAAAATTTTTCAAGTTTTATATAATAATAATTAACTGTATTTTTTATATTAATCTCATTGAATTATGTTTTGGCATTGATATTGAGATATACAGGTTAAATAATGGGGTGGGGGTTAAGGTCGGACCACCCCCTGTGTGTGTGTGTGTAGTAATGGCATTGGTATTAATAAATGTGTCTAAAAGTATTAACAATTATATATATATAATATTTATTTTAGTTTTTTTGTGGTTATTGTATATAAGTTATTTCATTATCGATATGTCATACTAAATGCCAACACATTTTATTTTATATATATTTTATTAAATAAAAAATTATTTTATTTATTAACTGTTATAACAGTTATGTGTATATGTGTTACTACTGTGTAATAGCCTTTAGTTTACTTAATTTATTTATTTATTTAATTAATTGAAAAAAATTGTTTTATCAATATATTGTGATCAATCTATACACACACACACACACAAAATAATTGTAATAAACCTTCAAAATTAAAAAAATTATAAAATAAAAGAGTAGTTATATTATAGTAATAATTATTTTAAACAAAAAATCATATTTCAATGTCATTGGTTGTGAAAAGTCATATGCAATATAATAATAGCAATAATAATAATAATAATTGAAATTATAATAAATATCCTAATCTTCATTAATATAGCAAAAAAAAATAATTAACAAAAAAAATAATTTATAATTTAATTTTTTTTTTTTAATTAAAAACCAATCAAAGTCATGGGATTATTATTATTATTATTAATTTAAAATACTTGACTAGTATTACACTTAAAAATATATTATACAAAAGTAATATACTGTATATATTGTGTAAAAAATGTTTAAGATTTTATTTTTTTATAAAAAAAATGTCATTAATAACACTTAGACTAACATACATGAAAAAAATAAATAAAAATTTTATATAAAACTCTTAAATAATATTGATTTCACAGTTGCTATCAATTTAATAATAAATTTAATATATTCAACATTTTGATAAAATTATTTTATAATATTAATATATGGTGTCATAGATTTATCAAATATTTTTAGTTATATATTTAATAAATATAATATGTATAACCTTTATAAAAAAAATTTCAATATATCAATTTATTGAATATATATTGAATATAACTATTATATATATATACAGTATATATTGTATATAAACTAAAAAATATAGTATAAATATAATATTTTCAACAAAAAAAACTATTCAACATTTTTTTTAATAAAATAAATAAATAAAATATTTAACCAAAAAAATTTTTCTTATTTATCAAATCAATAATTTTTTTAACAAAAAATAATAATAGAAAATAGATATATATAATAAAAATATTTTTTTAAATATATTTTTTATATAAAACTAAAACTAATAATAATAATATACAGTAATATATTGATATAAATAAGTAGAAAAAATAATTCATAAATAGTGATAAAAATAATTTATTTTATTATTATTATTACTATTTTGCTCTGGAGAGAGACAAATGGATATTTTTGTTTTGTTTTTTTTTTGTCTAAATATTTTTTCAAATAAAATCATTAAAATATAAATTTCCATTTTAATGATAGAATAATAATTTTAGAAAAATAAAAAATAAATACATTTTATATTATCATAAAAATATATTTTCAAAAAAAATACTATATTTATTTGAATTTTTTAATAAAAATAAACTAAACTTTTAGATTATATATATATATCAATATATGAAAGTCAATTTATAATATAATTTATATCACATTTATATATATAGAGAGTGTATATACACTGTATATATATATAGTGTACAACTATTACAAAAAATTTACATAATTTTGTTAGTTTTAATAGAAATATTTATATTTTAAAAAATATAACTATTTTTAACTATATATATATATATATATATATAGTAACAATATATATATAGTATTGATATTTAAAAACCTTGAAAATAATATATATATATATATAAAATATACATTAAAAACGGATCGGTAGCTAATGGATCGTAAGCTGGATATATAGATATAGATATATATATAGATATATATATATATATACATTAATATATAGATATGGATATACAGTATCTAATAAATACAAATGAAAAATTGATTGTCATATCTATCATATTTGTTGAGAAAAAAAAACTAAAAAACTAAAATATCAAATGAATAGACATCAATAAAATAAAAAACAAGTAATACTGTAGTAGTAGTTGTTGTTGTTAACTGATAATACATTTATTATATATAACAACAACAACAACAACAAAAATATTGCAATCAAATCAAATATTTTTATGTTGTTGAAAAAAACCTCAATATATTATATATCATATTATTATTATTATTGTTGTTTTTTTGAGTTGTTTTTTATTATTAATATTATAGATATTATAAATTATTGTGTTTTTTAATATGTGTCACATACAGAATATTCTTGAGAAAAACGCATTATATAACATATAATAGTATACAGTATGTATGTGTATGTGCATGTGTATGTGTATGTGTATGTGTATGTGTATGTGTATGTGTATGTGTATGTGTATGTGTATGTGTATGTGTATGTGTATGTGTATGTGTATGTGTATGTGTATGTGTATGTGTATGTGTATGTGTATGTGTATGTGTATGTGTATGTGTATGTGTATGTGTATGTGTATGTGTATGTGTATGTGTATGTGTATGTGTATGTGTATGTGTATGTGTATGTGTATGTGTATGTGTATGTGTATGTGTATGTGTATGTGTATGTGTATGTGTATGTGTATGTGTATGTGTATGTGTATGTGTATGTGTATGTGTATGTGTATGTGTATGTGTATGTGTATGTGTATGTGTATGTGTATGTGTATGTGTATGTGTATGTGTATGTGTATGTGTATGTGTATGTGTATGTGTATGTGTATGTGTATGTGTATGTGTATGTGTATGTGTATGTGTATGTGTATGTGTATGTGTATGTGTATGTGTATGTGTATGTGTATGTGTATGTGTATGTGTATGTG